TTTAATTACAGGCTTTGAAGCATTCTATCTTAGTCCTTAGGGTTCACGATGCATCGCTAGCCTTTTTGTTTGAAGTTGGCTGCAGGTTTTAGTTCGTTTGTCTCTTAAGATTTATAAAAAAAACAACGTGAACAGACGATAATTGCTGTGATAACATTATAGTTAGTAAAAATTACCATACAAATACTAACACCGACTACAATCACCCTCCCCCCTAATAAGACGTGAAAAATAAGTAATAGTAAAAAAGATAAAATCCAAATTTAGTTTTATTAATGTGTATGTTCCTATTTAAGAAATCATTATACATACGACTAATTAAGTGAAAGCTTTAGAGGAAGGTAATCGAATTAAATTTTAAATTAGGTATGTACCTCAACTTAATTCGGTTCTAAGCTTTATGTTTGGTAATGAAGGAAAACCTCGTGAGAAAATTTGCATTTAAATGAAGAGATGCATAAGGTACGTGAGGGTAATATGGTCATCCGGTTAATATCGTCACTTTCTTATAACTCAAACACTACAGCCTTATTTGCATAGAAGGCCATATGATTCGATAGCTCTTTATCAGTCAAATAAGTAATAAAGTGTCAAAAGAACGCTGCTTTATCGACGCCATTTTAACAGTTGATAGTATAGTAAATATTTTCGATATTAGTATGGCGTATTGTAGTTAATTTTCATTAAGTTGATTTTTTGAAGTGTTTCTAATTACTGCATCTCAATTATTGCTCTTCTTTGATTATTTTTTCTTATTCCTTAAAAAATGTACCCCACACTTGAAAATTATTTTGCATTGTAGAGGCTTTTAAAATATATATAAACTACATAATATAAATAAATGTAATATATCAACTATAAATATAGCAAAAATTTTGTAATATTCCGCAACCCGCCACACGAAGCGTTTAACTATTACATTACCGAACCGTCAAAACCCTTGGAATTATGTTGATAAGAGATTTTTAGTCAGCACCTGGTAATACTTCTTTATACTAAAGTGTGAGGATTCTTTAAGTCGGTATTTTTTACACGTTACCTCCACACTAGGATGTTCTCTTGTATCGACACTATAGGATAAACTTCCAGAACGGGAACAATTATCTTTAGGCCATACAAATACTTGTTCCTAAAGGTGAAAGCGTCAGGGTAGCCCGCGAAATTAAATTTTTTTGCCTCTTACGACACCCACGGAATGATATATGGCAGTGGATTGTCTTATGCTGCCATTACACCTACATTTAATATACGTGGTAGAGCTACGCTACAGCTATATTATGATTGTAGCACGAATGAGTTGGCTAGACCACGTTCTTACACAATACCAACGTAAAGTAGCCGAAACAATGCTAGGAGCATTGTTTCGAAAAACTAGAGACCCTTTTTACTGGAAACGAAGCATTCCATCTTAGTCCACATGGGCGACAATGCATCTTGTCGCCTATGGCTAGTGTAGAGATCCGGATACCCTTTTTACTGGAAACGAGACATTCCATCTTAGTCCTCAAGAGGGACAACGTGTCTGATACGTGATAACTATAAATAATCCTATAACGTGTCTATTTTGATACTCAATTGAGGCCACAGCATCTACTTTAATATCAAGTGGTACGTATCCTCGTTTGTCACTCGTGTTCTATAAAAAAAAGATGCTAGTTTCGTTCGACAGGTTTTATCGCCAAGCATGTGTTTAATTAGCATTAAAAATTCAATTTAACAATGTCATTGGTGGCGGTGGTGATCAAATTCGATTTGCTAGCATTCTATAACATTTTTTGGCAAGTGATTGTCAAAGTGATCACGGCTTCATAACTACCACGTTGTTTGCTAAACTGTCTAACAAACGATGCGTATTTTTAAATAGTTATAATTAGTTTAACGTCAACTAACAAGTCTAAAATTACGGAAAAAGATGCCCTCGGGCTTTCTAAAAACCTATATTCAATAAGAATGGATGTATCAGGGCCTCGTTCGTTTGTTTTCTTAGAAGAAGGGTGCGCCGCGTGTAAGGTTGTCATTTTGATAAGAAGTGGTTTAATCCTTCCGAACGGTACATAAAAATAACATATTATATTGAATAAAACAATTTTTTATGGATTTAAATTTAACTTTCTTTATTCTGGATGCTGTAAATCGCATAACAACACCCATGTTTATGAGGCGAGGGGACCTAATAACGCAACGTCGGGACAACCCATAGTAACACCATCTATTTGTTCGTAGAGCTCTTTCTTGCACAGTAGATAGCCAGATGTCAGGCAATATCTGAGTAATAAGGCATATTCAGCGACCGTGATGTTCTCTTCTAGCTTCATAGTTTCAATAGAGACGCAGTCTACGATAGTTACGTATGTTAATAGTGAGTGGACACCGAAATCTTGCTTTCAAAATGGAAAGAGCCAATTTATAAGTTATAACATCGATGTGGTTCACTGTTGGACGTAGACGAGCCTTTGGTTTGTGTATTTTGAACACAACCCAAACGCTCTAACGTAACGCAGTGTGTTAAATATTCGTATAAATGTAAGATATAATTTAATAATACTGATATTTTAATATCAAAGTTTTATAATATTCTATTTCCTATTAGAATAACGAGGCGTCGATGACATAATAAAGCAAAAAAAAAAATAACTAGGTGCGTGTGCAAGTTGTGTGCTGACGCCACGTCGCGGAAATTTGCCATTTCGAATTCGACATGTTCATGAATAACCTGTAATATAGCAATGTCGCTTGTTATGTCTTTGTAGTCCATTAATAAAAAACAACTGAAAATTCATAAAGGTCAACTCTTTTAAATATTTAAATTTATATTTTGTGATATAGTGATCATTAAATAAATAGATGCCTAGTTTGACTATATCGATGTAATTTTAATTTGCAACTTAAACTTTAAACTACATTATGTTGTTTTTTTATCTTTAATATGTTCTATCTTTATTCTTCAATATGAGGTTTTTATAATTAAACTAATGCCTAATTCACACTAAACACTTCGTTACCGTTTCGTTTATTCAAAGTGTACCTACTTTTAGTGCCGCGTAACCGTTTTTAAACAAATATGTCGTTCAGAAAAAGTATAAGAATTTCCACTAGCCCATATCATCCCGTTGGTGTCGTAAAAAACCTGCGGTTGCCAAACCGTCTGCCAAACGTGACTACTATGGCAAACATCCCATTAGAATGGCTACCTCCTATAGATTGTCTCATAGATGAGACAATCTGTAGGAGGTAGCTTATGTTCAGTAGTAAATTACTTTGATAGGCTATCACGGTAAAACTAATATAAAAGTTACAGCCTATGATATACATTCCACTACTGGGCACAGGCCCCTCACTTTTCTAAAAGGGTTTTAGGACAAGGAAATGTCCGCTGCGCTGCCCCAATGCGTGCTGACGAACTTTACATGTCTTCGATATATTTAAAACAACTTTAGGCCAACGTAAAAGTTTAAACAGTTTTTAATTTCTTTTAAAGTTATTTCGTGCATGTATTGCACTGAAGAATGAGATAAAAACCTCTGTTTTTATATATCAGGCAATAATGATGCTTAATATTTTTATAATAAGTACAAACAAGTACAACACAACATCTAGCAGCCTGTTTTACTGGTTAAAAATTGATGCCAATTACTTTTTGTAGAAATTAAAATTAAGCCCGTGAGAATATCGAACATACCTATCTGAAAATATTTGGTTTGCCGTAATGGTGGATAAGACACGTTTAAATTTAAAACTTCGTTCAAGCTGTAGTATGGCTGCATCACAATTAGGTCGGATCGGTCGGAGAAGAACCACGTCACCATAATAATAAATAAAAAAAAAAAAATATATATATATATATATATATATATATATATATATATATATATATATATATATATATATATATATATATATATATATATATATATATATATCGTTCACAGTATCTTCTAACCATCAGGTGAAGAGTGATACTCATTTGTCACCCATGTATGTTTTAAAAAAATTCTCGTCTCGTCATTATGTCGTCGTCATGAAACTTAGTCATGACTACCAATAGATAGTAGAATAAATATTTTATATACATATTGGCGTAATGCTAGAGTCGATTAATATAAATTTTGGACTAGGTGAGGAACTGGTTCCTCAAACATAGTTTTGCTTGCTCAGGGGCCAGGGTATCATTGAATTCATGTAGATCAAAAGGTTTTCCTGAGTCATTCTGTATCCATCGATTTCCAGTATCTCTTGCATCTAGCGAGGGGCTGCCTTATACCTTGCTTACCTTTACGAGGCTACTACTCGAGAACCTGTCTTCCTCGTCTGTTTACAATTCTTCTAGCTGTCTGTCCACCCTATTGCAAAGAATCATGCCCACTTTCCATACATTGATTGACCTGTCACTTGATTCCTTTAAGAGGTCGCGTCTACCTACAACTACTGTTGTATAAAACCAATTATTGTTTACAATAACACAATAACTTATCATCTTTTCATTTAGAGGCCAGGGAAAAATGCTATTAAGTAAATAAATTTTTGAGGTTATAACAGCTGTCAGATAAGGTCTGTACACCTATTTTTCTTTCCACACCGTAGTATAAACCATTAAAAATCGTATCTAATCATATATTAATAAGTTACAAAAATATAAATTGGTTATTTTGAACATTTATAAACCACATGACGAATGAACAAGTTTTACGTAGTCTGAAACGGAACGTGTAAAACACGTTTTTAATATATTTTGGCATGGCTTCTAGGGCTTTGAGCCGTTGTAAAACATCTAGTGTCTATTGAGAATGATAAACAAAGTAACATTACTTTTTTCCGGACTTCACTTGAAAATTCAATTATGCGATGCGAAATAAGAAAAAAATATACAATTTTATAAGATATTCTACACCACTAGAAGCGTTAGAAAATTTTTAGGTCAAAACTGCACATGATTCTTTGTGTGTGTGAAGTATAAGAAATATGATTTTGACGTTTATGTTCCTTTTTCTCTTGCATTTCAGGCAAACTGGTTCAAAGCACAGCAGTACTGTCGATTCCATGGCATGCACCTCGCCTCCATTTCGTCACAAGAAGAGAATGACAAGCTTGAGAAGTATGTGAAGGATTCGGGTAAGTTGCCTTTCTTTTTTTTATATGTCTAAAACTGAAAACATGATTTCATAATGACATAAATTGATAATTGATGATTATACATTACGATATATTTTATAACTTTTACAATAAAAAACATACATAATACCTATTTAAAGTATGAATTGGTAAGGTGCCTGGTTACCAAGCCATTGGTCCAAACCAGACTTTAAAAAGTACAATTCTAGTCAATATTGGGCAGGTAGGTATACTTAACTTTGCAAGTATCATGTAGATGCAGCAAAAAATGGAAAAGCGCATTGACTTACGAGTGTCTTACCAAAAGCCTATTCACTCTTGCCTTCAAGACACCCGCATTGTAATATGGTATACATAATATACTGACTACATCGTATTCTTCGAAGAAGAAGTTCGATACCACACAATTACCCAAACGGACTCCCAGTTAAAAAAGGGAGTTCTACCTATATATGTCCATTTAACGGAGTCTACTGTCTTGTGCGTCGTTAATAGCCTCTTTGTAATATTGGAGTATCAAAAAAGTTTATAGTCTACCTGATTATATTTGCTTACTACATCCCATGAAGAACTGCAATGAATTTAAAAAAATCAAAGTCAATGATGAGACCCTGGAGGACTAAGACGGAATGACAAACCTTTCAAATTGGAGTACAGTGAATGCACTGCTATGGTGGCATGCCCGGACATAGATAAGAGGGGCGCATTCTTAGGCAGACCAAGACATTCTACCTTAAACTTTCGATCATACACGGCACAATATTGTGGTAATTGTTAATGTACAATTTTTCTTCTTGCTTTATGGAATGTAAACAGATAAATGTAATAAACTGTAACCGTATAGCCGCACTTTCTTTTAACATTTTTGCCTTTTTTATACGACAGGATGACAAACGAGCACATAGTCCACCCGATGGTAAGTGGTTGCTGTGGCCCATAGACATCTACATCTATCCTCTATTACGAATCAAAATGCAGATGTGTTATCACCCGTGAGCACTAAGATGGAATGCTTGCAGTAAAAAGGGTCTCCGGTTCGCTACACTCACCACACGAAACACAGCAACATTAAGCTACTATTTTACGCTGGTATTCTGTGAGAGCGTGGTCTTTCCCCGGTCAAGCCGACCCATTTTTGCTACAACTATACTACTAATATAACTGCAGCATGGCTCTACCACGTATATGTGATAAACGCCTTGTGATAAACGTGTACATCGTCTACGTGATGGCAAGTGAATACTGTAGCGCATAGACAGCTATACAATATCACTTTTGAGGACCAAAATCAAATGTTTAGAAGTATCAATACAGAGAGTATCCCGCTTTCGAGACCCAACATACTAAACAGAGGATTATGCTACGATATAACACTAGTTATATCGTAACTTCAATATTTTTCCAAATTTGTCATCTGCTCTCGGGTTATAAATTCATCGTCTATGAGAAGTGACCAAAAGTGATAATTTAAAGTTTTAGTAAGCCTTTTTAACGATAAATAATTCCAACGATTACTTCACAGGTTATGGTCGAGAACACTTCTGGACTTCAGGCACTGACTTGGCCGAAGAGGGAAGCTTCTTCTGGATGGCCAACGGAAGACCGCTCACCTTCGTCAACTGGAACGCGGGCGAGCCGAACAATTTCCGGTATGAAAACGGTGAAGAAGAGAACTGCTTAGAACTTTGGAACAGAGACGACAAAGGTCTTAAGTGGAACGACTCACCTTGTTCTTTCGAGACGTACTTCATTTGCGAAGTGCGGACAGATTGATGATGGTGTTGCTTTTAGACGCCATTAAGTATTGTGATAGCAGATTTAGTGTGCTAGAAACCAATTTTCTTCTCTATTCCGTATTGTGTTGTATATTGTTATAAATCAGACAAACAAACAACGTTTCAAGGAATTGAACTGTAATGGAACGTACTTTCGAACTGTTATGTAAATTTAAATTATGAATGTTTTTTGCAGACCTCAAATATTATTTATCGTTCGAATCATTCGACTTATTTTTATCTAAAATATGTAGTTTAAGATTGAACAATCACTGCCTTATGATCTAGCTCTTTGTTTTACAAAAACCTCTGAGCCTTTGGTTCAACGGACGCTCTTGTCCATAGTCAACGTAGTGGGTAAATAAGCAATAGTTACCTTAGTAATAACTGTATAAATAGTTTTAAGGATCAATAAAGATGTAAGGTTACTTTATTCGTTTCATTTGAACCAATACTGATATTTTTTATACATAGATATAAATAAAGTTGAAGTGTCTATCTTTGATATTGAAATAACTGCCTTAGTGTCTGTAGTTATTTGCATGCCGTTACATGAACAAAAATTAAAAAAAAATTGTCCGTCTCTCTGTCTCTCTGTTTGTCTGTCTGTCTGTCTGTCTGTCCGAGCTAATCTTCGGAGTGGCTTAACCAATTGTGATGAAACTACACCAACGGATAGAGAGCAAAGCCAGGTGGTTCTAGCCTATATTTTATACGAAAACTTTTTTTCAAAATAACGTAAAATTGATAAAATAAATTGTCTTAAAACTAAATAACACTATACTAATGGATACATAATGGATATGATCCATTTGATTGCTAGTATGTTTAATAAGAAAGTAAATAATACTTTATCTGTTCAAAACGATTCGAACAACCAAACTCGTTTCAAGGAATTGGATATGTTGTGTTTCTGAAAAACAGACTCTTCTGGAAAAAAATAAATGATTCTGAATCTGGACTCGTGGGTCGGTCTCCGTTTCAATATGTATTGTCTTCGAAAATTAAATGCAAACTAGATAAGCATATATACGTCTGACTGCTGGTTGGACACAGGCCTCCTTTAATTTCTGAGAGGATAATAGTCCAAGTAGGCCGTTGTGATGCTTCAGTGTTTAAGGTTTCCTTACGACGTTTTCATTCATCGCCGAATATGCAGTAGATTAACACATAGAATTGCGATCTTAAGGCGCTACTCCTGATAAACGACCTTGAGCGTTCGGTCCTATACAATCCACGCGCTCTTGCTACAATATATAGCATAAGAAATACGCCCACATATTTGAAATTATTTCAATTAAAAAAGTAGAGCGAACTTAAGAAAATAAATAAAAAGTGAATAATATTGATTTTTAAATCATCTATTCATTAATGAAATGCTCAAATGATTAAAGCATTTCCTTTAGCAACAAATGCATGTAATCTAATTTTAGTCATTTTTTAAAAGTTGATTTTAAATAAATTTATAACACATAAAACAATACACAAACAAACAAATTAGAACGAGAAATGTGATGATAGGATATAGAACAGATACATAAACGATATGAAAACCTCGATGTAGTTTATTTCTCATAACTAATGAAATAATAATTATTAATTATTAATTAATTAAAATAGTCTCTGAAAAATGCACTTTCGCAAGATTTTGGTCGGGATATCGCCTTAAGCAATTTCAGTTGCTCCAATGGGGATTTGAATTACCCGCGTATAATAAAATCTACGAAACGCTCGGTCCTTGAGCCTACATACCTTTCTTCAGCTTCAAAAAATCCACTGCTATACATATGATTCACTGACCATCAGGTCGTCACCAGTCCCGACATAAACAAATTTTTTTATATAGTTGTTGTCAAGAAGCTCTCTTCCTCTTCCTTCATTTCTCTCTCACACACCCGGTACTTTCTCCTATCCCCACTCTAGCACATAGCACTTACTTTACATTACGTTTACAATTTATATCCGAAAATCGAAGACATGCATTCAAGGACATAGCGTACATACGTGGTAGAGCCACGCTGCAGCTAGGTATATTATGGTTGTAGCACAAATGGGTCGGCTCGACCGCGGAAGAACCACGTTCTCAGAGAATACCAGCGTAAAATAGCAGTTTAATACCGCTGTGTTTCGTATGGTGAGTGTAGACATCCGGAGACTCTTTTTACTGGAAACGAGGCATTCCATCTTAGTCCTCAGGGGTGATAACGCATCTGCGTTTTGATTCCTAATCGAGGGTAATTGTAGATGTCTATGGGCTACAGCATCCACTTACCATCAGGTGGACTGTGTGCTCGTTTGTCACCCTAATTCTACAAAAAAATACGCTTATCATTTAAGGATTACCATGTAGGTTAGTCGCCTTATATTTAAAATATCTTAGATATTACTTTGGATAATGTTTTATTATATTATGTATTTTCTGAACGACTTTAAGTTTTACCTTATGTGAAACAAATCGCGCCACCTGTCGGAAGCGATAGAAAAAGTGTGCCGGGTCGGCTAAGTTATCGACTACGTCCGATAATTACTGTTCCCGTTACAGCCTACTTAAGTCCACTGCTGAACATAGGCCTACCCCATAGCAGCCCTCTGTCCCTCTGCCCTCTTGCTAAATGCGTGAAATAATTACCTAAAATCGCAAGCCGCCCTAGGCGTTATACGCAGTCGGGGCTAGTGCGTTGTAGGCGATTCAATGTTGAAGTTTTATAACGCTGTTTACGTAAATAGTTTTATGTAAATATTTGTTGAAATAGTTTTTGTTTAGTGTTTAGTATATTTAATTGTAAGTAAAAATAGTTGTAAAAGTTTTAATGTATTTTAAAAATTATATAAGTATTATGTATATTACCTATTTGATAAATTATAATAACAAAACGTCGTTCCTACTATAACTGTTGCGTGGATGGATACTAAAAGAAACGACCTACGAAAGTTTTCATATCATTCTTTAAGTTACAGAAGAATTTTAGAAGGAAATTATGAAAGATGAATTTATTTAATTTTTTTGTTAATAGTTACTTACAACAAAAAAGAGTTAAACAAAAAACAGTTTTTCATCTCCCCCACCAAACAACATAAAAAAAACAAAAAAAAAAAAACCCAAACATTTTGTAAAAAAAAACACAAAATGAAATATCCAAAAATACTAACAAGCAAAAAAATTTTCTAGAATCTTTTTGGAATACCATGTAAAAGTTGCTTTATGTAATTGTAAATAATATACCTTAATATAAAAACTCTAACTCGACTGCTTGAACTCTCGCCATAGACTTGAAATTTCATTTTACAAGTTTTTATAGACGCGTTGTTTTATACACCCTACATACAAAATTAGAAATAAATGTTATATGTTATGAATGGAAATAATAAAATAAAGATTATTTTCATTAATAAAATAGTTTATTTTGAATGTGAATACAGCTTAAAACGTTATGTCTCTATGAATAATGTTATTTTTTAAAGCAGAAGTCCTTTTTTCTCTCAAACTTTGGCATGACTTTTCGAAATGCTAATTTAGATTTTTATGAATCCCTCTCTTCTTTTCTTTTCGCATACACTTAGAGCTGCTTCTTGTGTGGCAAGGCAGTCTCATAAACTCCAAAACTGCATCTTCTCCATTTTCAATGAGATCTTGCAACTGCTCATCAGAAATATTCTTTAGTATTGGCGGTTCGTATATATTTTGTTGCCAGTCAATCAAGTCTATATAACAACGTGAATTAAGGTTCACTTTTGGCTCCTCAAACATGCGCGGAACAGAATTTTTATTGTTGAATTTTTATTTGTGTTTGTTCCTTCACAGCCAACTGCCATTATGCTCTCTAGTAATATCTTTCAATCGTATCAAAAAGCTCCGGATAGCTCTTTCAATATTTCTTGCACTGTCCGATGATGGAACAACATACCCAACGTAAACAGAACCTGCTTCTTTTATAATCGAAATATGTTCCTCTTGTACAATCACTCTAAACCTCTTTGATCCTTTTAATACAGTTTTAGCCGTCTTGTCTTTTCTTCCATCGAAAAATAATGCAGGAATTTCTTTAACTCTTTCTTCTGTTAAAATTTGCTTGTGTACTTTCTGTCTTGTTCTTCTTAGTTTCATCCTGTCCACAACGTTAGTAGACTGTGCCTCGGAGTCGGCATCAGAAGCAGAACATAGAACAGATGATACGATAGCCGCTGCAGCTCTGTCTGATACTCCGTGCCTATCGCATACAGTCGTCAAACTATGAAGACTGGCATCCGTGAGCTTCATAGGCTTTTGATCCACTGTTTGAGTGGTGTCTATACCATCTGCGACCGACGAGCAAGAAGGAAGGTCGACATTAGAACAAACGTCAGATCTATTTAGCCGATACGAAGTAGAAGGAATTTCTTTAATTCTTATATTTGAATTATGCCTGATTTCATGTTTAAAAGCACGTTATCTTCTATTTTGCAATTTTTTACTTTGGACAAGATCCGTTCTTCCTAGAACCATTAGTCTGTTAGAGCGTTGGTCTTCTAAAAATATTTGTTCCTCTTTTGGTACTTTTTTTCTCTCACACAAGTACAGCTTATATATTTTTTACATTTACATGCAGCTATGTCAAAAAGCTTTCTACTTTGTACTTAAGTTTCTTCAAAGACTTTTTCAAATTATAACATTTTGAGTGATAACTTTTAATTAACCGCAAAACTCGTTTTTGAAGATTTTATCCGCAATTCTTCGATTTTCGTTGCAACTATTTCGGCAATTTCCAAAAACGTAGGTTCTTTTCTTGTGTAATTTCTTACTTTTAAGTCTTGTCGTACCCATTCATAGAATTTCATCACATTTTCATACGTAGGAAGAATATTCTCTTTCAACTCTCACCCAACTCTTAACTTTTGTCTCGTAGAAGACCTTTCACCTAGACACTAGTTAAAACAAAACACTGCAATTCGTAGATTGTCACGTGCCGCCCCTCGCTTCGTCCCGCACTTTCCTCCTCTGCCCCAGCGCCAAATTATATTAAAATAATGAAATGTTTAATTGCAACAGTTTGTTAACTACTATATTTGAATATGTTTTTGAATAAAATAAACGAATTGTAATGAAAATGTACTATTTTGTAGGCTTTGTAAAAAAGCCCCTAAATTATCATTTTTGTAAATGTTTGGTGTCTTGTCGGGGGCTTTTACCGCTGTCTGATAATAATTTTATTTTAAATGGAGCTAACTAATGTCATTAGGCAACATAATGCAACTATTCCAAAATAAAATTCTGATTTTTTTTATCGTTCCACCCTAATATATATACAAACCGTATGCTCGTTTGACCCCTATATTATAAAAATTATCCGATAATTACGGCTTTAGTAAAATATACTGGCAGCTATTTTGAATAAAAAAATAATGACAAAACAAATCCTTTTTTTCAACGAATTTTATGGAGTAAATATTAAAATTTTTAGACCTACACTAAAACATCCTCAAGCAAAATGCCCCGATTACCCTTTTCAGTTCATGATAAAGTAATTATACGCTCAATTGATGCATTCGGAAGTCGTGAAAATTTAAATGAAATTGCGCTTCCGACCGTTATGCCCTTTCCGCTCGTTAAAAATCTCATCAACGGGAAAACGACTTAACCGAGCGACCAATGCTCTCATTTCGTTGCAAATTTATTTAACAAACAATGTGACTTCTGTCGCAGTCGCTTTTGGTTTCATGACGAAATGAATCGCATCGATTATTTACAGTCTGACAGGCAATTAACGTGTTAGTTCCCATTGCTTAAATTCATACACCAATATTGTGTGGATGTCATCAGCATCATCATCATTATTACAGGCTGTTACAAGTCCAATGATGAGCGTCCGAACTTCCTGCATCTCTGTCCATCTATTGGGAGGGCCGTCGTACACTTTGCTTACCGGTACGAGTTTGCCACTCGAGAACCTTTCTTCCTTATAGGTTGTCGGTTCTTCGAGCATAGCTAGTGTAGTCAATGCTGCTTCCTATTGTTAGTTTCGGTATTTTAAAAAAAATAGTTTTGATCGATAAAGATTAATCGAACGTATTTTTTTTATATAGGATAGGGTGACAAACGAGCACACAGTTTACCTGATGGTAAGCGGTTTCTGCGGCCCATAGACTTCTATCCTCTTTTATTGCAAATCAAAATGCAGATGAGTTGTCACCCGTTAGGACTATGATGGAGTGCCTCGTTTCCAGTAAAAAGGGTCTCCGGTTCTCTACACTCACCATACGAAACAGCAGTATTAAGCTAGTATTTTACGTTGGCATTCTGTGAGTATTGAGGGTATTCCGTATTGACGCATTGTTAGAATATCCACTACCCTATATAGACCCATGGGCGTAAGAGGCATCAGAAAGAAACGAACTAGGAGATAGGCAGCATCGTCTTTCCAATAACAACAAAAATCGTCTCAATGGTTTTCTCGCTAAAAGCGATACCTTCCTGGTCAGGCTCACGGAGAACAGAAAACTTAATAATACACCCATATAATATATAAATGAAGTATGTAATATATTGATACTTCTTTTCGCACTCAACTTAATTGGCTACCTCGAATCGGATCCACATTCATGGTGAATGTTCAGAACTATTCGACAAAATATATACATTAATGTGTGAACCGAATAAAGATTATGAATTATATAGAACAAAGGCCTTACAGATAATATCTTTCTGTTTATTTCCACGTTTTTATTAACTGGATTGCGTGTATGTCTGTTCGAGTTGTAATTGATTTTTAACTACCTTCCTGATCAGCTGGAGAAATCTAATTTTCAACATAGATCAGAACCTGATGATAATGTATGAATATGAAAAGAAACATGGTATATTAAAATGTTAAATCACAAAAACAATCATTTTAATTTGTTGCTTACTTTAATAATTATGTCCACCAGAGGTAATTTCGGTCTCGGCGGTCAGTCTCAATGTAGACTAGCCATCACAGGACAAGTTCATAGTGCACGAGTGTGTGTGCACGTGCATTTCGCATTCTCTTACTCTCATAACGGATATGGAATGGAATACGCTGAAGCAAAATCTTACAGCATAAGGATGCGACGAGTTTAATCGATCTTCGTTCACCACTCTGTCTGCTCAGCGAAAAGAATATAGACAAATCTTCCAAGTATTTTAGGTAATATCATTTGGCGCATTCTTAAACATACCTATACTCTATCTAACAGTGGGTTAGAAGAGGGTTTTCAAAAAGTTGAAAAATACATTATAGAAATGGAATGATTTTAAATACGCTGAAGCAATATCTTACAAACTAAGGAAGTGACGAGGTAACACCATATTTACACCAGATCAAAGATATACACCATAGAGAGAAAAAGGTACACACCAGATCACTGACAGAGTAAAAGGTTTTGGAATGGCTTTTTTATAGAAGAGGGGCAAACGAGCATACGGTTGATGTTAACTGACTACCGCAGCCCATGATCAACCGCAACACCAGGGGAATTGCAGATGCGTTGCCGGCCCTTTAGAATAGATTAAGCTCTTTTCTTGAAAGTCACCAGGTCTTATCAGTCCGGAAAAATCGCCGGTGGTAAATTATTCCACAGAGAGGTCGTACGCGGAAGAAAACTCCAAGTGAAACGTATAGTAGTGAATCGCTTAGCATCCAGATGGTATGGACGGTATCGGGGGAATTGCCGCGTAGTGCGTTCATGAAATTTGCTGATAAATCCAATAAAATACGCAAAGAGATGCAACATCTCTTCGCAGCACCAGTGAATCAAGTCGATCCGAAAGCACTCGGTCGTCGATGATTCGAGCTACTCTGCGCTGGATGCGGTCAAGTGGAAGGAGCTGGTACTGGGTAGCCCCAGCCCAGAGATGGGAACCTGCACCTTGTAAAGTTGTGTGCCGGCATAAAATACTGTCCCTTGTTGCTCAGCACGCCAAGCTTTTAAGAGGCCAATTTGGCCTTCTCTTCACAGTGACCACGAAACTGCACGTCACTCAATATGTCGACGCCGAGCATTCCGATACTGACTGAGGCAACGAGGGGAGTGACTTAAAACTGAAGAGATACGACAAAGGGGTTCTTTTTTGCAAATTTGTGTCTTCTGAGGGTTAAACTGGACTAGATTTAGTCGCCCCCAATCCGAGATTTTGTTCAGCAAAGACTCGACTTCAGACACAAGTTTGTCCCGATACTCGGAGACGTTTTACCGAGAAATATTGGCACGGCAATATATGTTGCAGGTTTGCAACATATCATTGATATGCAGAAGAAACATGATAGCATGCAGCCTTGCGGGGCACCAGCATTAATAGGCTTGTAATCGGAGCTTGCACCGTCTACAACGACCTTGACGTTCCGATCTGCAAGAAAGCTGGTGTTGTAATTGCACAATCTCTCGGATGCTTACAGGAAGGGAGCTTCGAAAGAAGCGCTTCGTGCCAAACCCGATCAAAGGCTTTCGCAACGTCGAAACTAACGGCCAATGGACTAACGGCAAAGGGAGAGGCCCTTTTACTCTACTGCCGTCGCCCATCTATGAGTCAGGTAGACCAGAAGATCACCAGCTAATCGACCGCGACGAAAACCGTATTGGTGATCACTAATCAGGTGGTGATTCTCAAGGTACCTCATGAGCTGGCAGTTTACAATGGATTCTATTGTTTTGGAGAACAAGGAGGTGATGGCGATGGGTCTGTAGCTGGACGGGTCTGAGCTGTCGCCTTTTTTAGGGATTAGGTGGACGATAGCCGTCTTTCATGATTTTGGGACTACGCCTAGAGAGTAGGAGTACCGGAAAAGACGCGTTTAGAACGGTGCCAACTCTGGAGCACATGTCCTCGGCACAATTGGTGGACCCCTCCAAGGCCCAATCGACTTGTGGATGTCTGCGCGGAGCGCTGTGTAAACAGCACCTCCGGCATGTAGCACTCACACCGCGGGATGGTCGGCGGCGAACTCCCCCCGTCATCGAGTGTTGAGCTGGACGCAAATAAAGAGCCTAGCAGATCGGTTTTCTCCTTTACGGCATGGGCCTGTGAGTCGTCCTCCTTGTGCAGAGATGGAAGAGATGGCTGACAGAAATTTCTTTGGACAGCCTTGGCGAGAGACCAGAATGCACGGGTTCCAGAAGGAACGCGAACTAGTTTCTCGCCAATTCTGCCTATGTGCTCTGACTTTGCCATGGCAATGACTACTTTGAAGGACCTGGGGGCGGAATTATACTTCTTTTTTAGAGCACTGGTGTTTACATCCCGGGACGTTGATGCGTCAGCCTTAG